AGAGGTACGGGGAGAAGCCGAGGGAGAGACAGGAGGAGAGAGGTACGGGGAGAAGCCGAGGGAGAGACAGGAGGAGAGAGGTACAGGGAGAAGCCGAGGGAGAGACAGGAGGAGAGAGGTACAGGGAGAAGCTGAAGGAGAGACCGGAGGAGGAAGGTATACGGGTCGATGTGTAGCCACGTCTGCGCTCCACGTGTGCAGGTGTTCCGTTTGGTGCTGGTTGGACAAATTAGTCATCAATTTGCTTTTTCCATCGTCTAGTACGATTTTAATCCACAGACCTGGAAAATTCTGTTGGCGTATATTTACTTTCGTTGCGAGCGTTATCACACACGTATCTTCGTGATGCCCTTTGGCTATATCGACTGATTCCAAAATAGAGATTCTTAAAATTGGCAAATGGAGTGGGAATGATGGATAGCAACCCAGGAAATTATATCACAATGCCAGGTTAATTAATGCAGCCGTATTTTGCCGTGACTTGCTTCCATTTCCTACCAGAACGTCAGAAGTGCAATCAGAGGCGTCTGTGCATCTTGGTTGAGTCCCTAAACTGAGTCCCTAACAAATAATATGATAAAATTAGGTCAGTCTAGTAATTTATTAATATTATTTGAGGCTGAACTTGCTTTTACCTGGTTACGTGGCGTTCTTACGGTGTCACTCACCATACGGCGTTATGCGGACTTAAACTCATAATTTTTGTAAACATTATAATATATAGTATCAGATAGTTACAGTATATTGTGAAAATGCTAAGAGCTATCAAAAAATGCGTTGCAGTGAAGCCAATTACTCCTTCGGAAAGCAGTAATTGTGATATTAGGTTTTCAGGCACAGCATGACATTCAATCTCTCGCGAATCTATGTTTATCTCTCGCACAAGTATCCCTGTAGTAATGCTACACCGCGAGCGTCTGGCACAATCGACATGTACGCGAATCCAATAATTCCGTTCAAATATGTGCTGCAAAATAAAAGCTCCGCCGCATTAATAGACACGTGTATGAATGTGTAATACGTAGTCATCTTAAAATACATATCATTGCTCTGTATAATCCCGACGCTTGCTCCGGCGTTTATGATTCCCTATTGTTAAAGCACTTACAGAGTCGCTAGTGGGTTCACGGTAAGTCTTGCAGTTAATCCAATGCCTTCAATTGCATGTCGGTTGAGATTTCTAGCTAACGAGTCTTGCTTTTAGGAGAGGCATTTGGAGACAAGGCCGTACATCGTCTGCTCTCTAGCGTGCAGGCGTTCGTCGCAGTGTACGTAAACACATTAGCCATCCCAGATCATCTTTGAAACGGTGAATGACAGAGATTGGATTAAAACCAGTTCGCTGTTGAAAGCATCACTTTATCGATCGGACGCTTCTTTCTTTCAGTCGTGAAGCTCGCAACAAGTAACTAGTTTTAAGTATCTTATTGAGCGATGCATTAACTCCACGGCGACGAGCGTGCTACCATACAATTTCCCTGCAATCTAGACCGGGTAAATTTAGCAGGGAGAGGTTTGCGCCTTTTTGCCCGCGAACCATATATAGCGTGCGGCATTGTTGTCATTGTTGTTGCCACTTTCTTTGCTGCAGCGTAAATCACTGCTGGATCTCTCGCACACCACCTTCGTGCGTGTGTGCGTGCGTGCGTGCGTGTGTGTGCGTGTGTGTGTGCGTGTGCGTGTGCGTGTGCGTGTGCGTGTGCGTGTGTGTGTGCGTGTGTGTGTGTGTGTGTGTGTGTCTGTGTATATATGCGTGCGTGTGTGTGTGTGTGTGTGTGTGTGTGTGTGTGTGTGCGTGCGTGCGTGCGTGCGTGCGTGAGTGCGTGCGTGAGTGCGTGCGCGCGCGCGTGCTTGCGAGGGTACGCGCCATGCACGGTATAATTATTATATTGACATCTTCCCGGGTAAACATACAGCGCTGATGATATCATCGTGCGTGATGTCGGTTTCGTCTGCTAAGGTCATTTCCAGAAGTTGTGTCTGTGTTTCCGCCGGGTAATTTAGGCAGCACAGAACGGTTGCCGTCGAGCTCGATCGATGCGCTGGGTCACGCATTTTCCACCTGGCCACGCCCAAGTTTATTAACGACGAGCGCAGCCCAATTTTCTCGCTACGGGTAATGAATGCGCAGTTCGTTGTATGAAGAAAGTCTGCGTATTAAATATCAACGAGCAAGTAGCCTTTGGCATTATCCGCCGTCATCATCAGTGGCTGAGCATGAATCGGATGGTTGGCTTTCTTAACTTCATTTTTTTCCAAGTGACGAACGTAAAATGAAAAATGTACAACCGCATGTGCTTGTACTGCTTATAAGCAGGTCGATACCATGGCGTTTCAAATATTTAGAGCTGCATCGTGTTGCGTCGTGTCTTTGCCATCACTGATTCTCACTATATTGCATCCACCGCTGTATGTATTTCATTAATGGCAGTGTCGGCTGCGCTGCATTTGCAACGCTTACACGACAAACAAAAATTATTTGCTCGTTCATGTCAGGTATTTTAGAATTCTCGATTTAAATAGCATATCACTAGCATTCCCACTGGAGCGTGTGATCACGCTGCAGTATGCGGCCAGTACAGAAACCATGACGTAATAAAATCAGGGTAGCTGCTTCGGGGACGGAGTTTGAGAATTTTTCATGTTCTGACTTATATAGAAACATCACCTTCTATGTTGCAAAATTTTTGGTGAGGATTTGTTGTGTATTTAATTGGCAGGTATACAGGATTTAATACAGGTATACCAGTAGGGCACTGGCTACTTCCAATTTGTGCACGTGCGTACCTCTGTGTGTCTTAACGAGTCGTGTGTGCCCGTGCCACTGTCCGCCCTCTTTCCTTATAAAAACCGTCAGTCAATCTTTTTTTCCCATTTCTCTCTACCCCTTCCTCGTCCATTTCGTACCCACTTCTATATTTATTTTCTCATTCCACGTCCCTCTGCCTATCACACACCCTGCCACTCCTATTTCCCACCCGATTCTCTCTCACACACACGTGCGCACGCACGCACGCACGCACACGCACGCACGCACGGCACGACACACTTCCACCCCTCTCTCTCTCTCTCTCTCCCCCCTCTCTCTCTCTTTCTTTGAATCTTTCACTCCTACTGTTCCTTTCTGTGGGAAACAGTGACAATGATGTTAGAGAGCAGGTTAAAGAAGCCAACTTCTCATCATCGCCAGCCTACAATGATCGCCATCGACGGTGCCGCGCGGCGCCTAGTAGCCGAACAGCTTCTCCCTCTACCCGGGCTTCTCCTATGATGGTGCTTCACGAATAATTCCGCCCTCTTGCATCTGCTGGTTGTGTAAATCGTCACGTCGACTCACTTTGCGTCTTGTATGTGTGTTGACCCGCACTGGCATTACTTGTGTCACTGGCTAGGAGTGCACGGACAGTTCTTCTCGATGCTACCAGCGCGACGGAATCACCTGCTCTGGTGGCTGGGTTATCGTATCTCGGTACGTAGTCGCACGGTGTGTTAGCAGCGTAGAAGGCTAGTCCGTAAACGAGCTGTTGGGTGGTGGGACACTTGTGTCGCATTCCCCGGGGTCGTGTAGCGCCGGCAGTCGGCGTCGAGTGGTGCGTCATGCGTCGCACGTGTACGGGGGGCGTTGCTCACCGCTGGGAGGTGCTGGAAGTACGAACAGTCATGCCTGCCGTCCTATCTTTCTGTGTGTGGGGGTTGCTCCTGCGCTCGGTACCATTTCCTCTGCCCTATTGCACACCAGCGTGATGTCTCCCAAGCATAGCGTTTGCAGCGACAGCTCAGCACTGATCATATCGCACTCTGTAGTTTATAGTAAAATATTTCTATGTATATAAAGGATGTATGATAGTTCTTTTGGGATTTTACCGAATTGCAACAGTTCCCCTAGAACGTAGGGGATGTTGATATTTATTATATGTAAAGAAGGAATTTGTGGTTAACCGTATGATTGCTGAGGTTCCGGGCATGTCCACACAACGTGTTGGCTAAAATGCACTCGCACGAACTCTCTAATCAGAACTTTCTATCATCTGTCATCGGTTTGTCTTGTATCATACACCGCTCCTGTGCTTACATTCCAAATTATTATTATTAGCTTTTTGATCTTGTACTTGTATGCATAATAGTGTTCAGCAGAGGTTGTGCAGAAAGTATTACTGTATGAACTAGTTAATTGTACAGGATAGCAATTGCAGTGAAAAGACGTGGGTTGCATTGATTTTTGATATCACAAACCTTGATTGGTGATGTTGTGGTGCATACTTTTTAGCTGGTGTGAATGCAGATGCACATTGCAAAGAACAGTATCTATTGGTTGAATGTGTTCTCTTGACCCTTTCCCCTCTGAGCAATTAATGGAACTTGACTTTTAAGACTTTTTCAAATATATAGGCACCACATGCCACTTTTTGGAAGGAATTGAACCTAAAACGTTCGTCCCTTGTATGTATAAAATAACAGGATATTATAGACATGTATGTACGCGCATGTATTTGTACCAGTGTGAGCCCAGAATGCATGGAGAAAGGGCCAGGAGAAATTCAGGGAGCCATAGCTTGATATTTTGATGAAACGTACCATCAATTTCTTTCCTCATTAAAAGGGGACGGGCTACAACTGTCAATTTGATAGCATGATTTTTAAAATGTGTATTAAGGCAAACTGTATTAGCGTTTGCTTTTGACCAGACAATGTAATCTCATTTCACGCTTGTGTTACAAAAGCCAGTCATTTGTGCTGTAAAATAAAGGACTGTGTGAAAAGACTATTGTTTTACTTGTTAGAATACTAAGCATTATTTGACCACTTGCCAAGTTTCTAGCATCATGGTTTTTAATATATGACTGAGGTCAGAAAATGCCTTGAGAAGTGCAAACACAGAATGGGTACGTCAAATTGTGCACCAATTGATATTGAATCTCAATGCTGACAAGAATTATGCATTACTATAAAAATTGCATTGCATTGTAACAAAACGTATAAATCAGCCTTGCATAATCGAGTTTCTTTCGTGGTATAGTTTTATTCCAGATGTTTTTGCTGATAGCATTTTTTGAAATCCAAGACCAGACTTGCAGGTGACAAAATGGGTAGGCAGGCAATAACAAGTACGGCTTCCTAGAATAGAAGAGTTATACCCACTTAAATTTACAACTGAACCTGTGCATATACATATGTAAAACAACTACGTGTTCTACGTCACATTACAAGTAATTACTACAAATTACGAAAACTTTCCAACAGGGTCCAAGGGGTCCAACAGCCCACTGCTGCCAACATTGGCATTGATAACCGATATTATCTCATGGCGCCATCTATAGTCTAAAAACTCGCACAAACATTTCCACGACCACAGAAACTTTTAGCTATATATTTGATGTTTTTACAAGTATATACAATACACACGATTAAATATGAAAGATTTATTATTACGAGATTATGTAAAAGAGATGAAGTGCAACTAGGCTGCTTAGCACTTTAGCTTTATTATTGTGAAATTTATCTCATGTCCATATTGCGGCTACTTGCTCCACAGCCCACATGCATCCGATTATTATATGAAGCAAACTGCAGCACTGCTTAGCTCTCATTCTGCAAATTCGTCCTAGGTGTGGCTTCATTCACATTTTTACAACACCGTTGGCCATTCACATCCATGTGCGTCACAACTCCATTTCATCATCAGCATCTGTTTGTACGGCCGGCAGTGGAGGTTGGACAGGCCTTCAGAAAATAAAAAAAAGGAGATGAGCTATTAACATTTCACATCTAAAAGAAACACCCGAAACATTACATACCGATTACACGTGCTGTAAAGAAATTTCAAGCACTGTACTGACATAAGCATCATATGAGCAAAGCCTTTATATGGGGAAAGCTTACACGGACAATGCTGGCATGAGACACAATGTATGTGCCAGAGGTAGTGTGTTATTGTTGGTTGCTTCCGGCGACAATTGGAATGCAAGCTGGGCTTGAGTTGCTGGGTCCAACAACGCTGGCTGCATCTCTGCAAGTGAATTTATGAATCCCGGCGGGGGCTGTGACTCCAATTCCCCGGCAGTGTGAGATTGGGCATCTACTTCATGCATCCATGTCTCCATGCTGGCAAGCGAATCATCAGCAAGACTAGAAACAGCACCTTGCGGTGGCTGGCTTTTCTCTGAATAACAACAATTTACTTCAATTAAAATTTACATTTCAGCTTTCACAACCAGAGTTTCAGCAGGAGGACAAACCTAACACCAGGTGGCAGTATTGCATATCCAGTAACTTAAAAAGTTATCGTATCCTACGTGTCATGTCTTGATATTGTTAGTCTCTGATAATACACACACCATTCTGACTTGAAAGCTCCCTGTCATATCCATTCTGTACGGTAGGACTGGAAGATGTCTTTAGATTTACCACGTTGTTAGGCTGCCACAACACCAATTGCATTGAATCATGTGGTCTTTTCCTATCAGGACAAGTCATTATATTAAAACCAAACAGAACATTTTATTTCTATGATTTTGATCATGGAAAGTAACACATGCATCCAGTAAAACTCTTCCAATGTTTAACCTCTACTTTTAAATATTTACAAGTGTTATCACCATTCTCTTACACTCTATCAAGTAATTTCCTCGGTATGATCGGTTCCTGCACGGCAAGTGTCTTTTTCAACTGTTCAGAAAGCTTCAACTTCAGACCTGCAGCTTTTTCCACATCATCCTCTTCCTCGTCACTAGTTAAAACCAATCTGTAAAGTTGTAAAGCCAGCATAACGAGGGTGTTCTGTCGGATCTCTTGCCAAAAAACCCAAACTAAATTTCAACAGGAAATTATATATTGCATGAGTGATGCCTAAATATATTGGCCGAGATAGAACAATTTGGTATCTCCCGAAACAAAAGGTAATAAAATATTATTCTTATTATTCTTATTATATCTTAGGCTTACCACAGTAAATTCTTCTTTATTCAGGAAAGTAACTCTTACAATGCTGAACAGGGTTTCTTATACATAAGAGGCACGCACAGTGGCGCACCGCCGTTGTCAAATTTAACATCGCCGTTGTGAAAATGTTCCTGTATTTACTGATAAGTATATCCTGTATCTATATACCTATAAGTATATCAATACATCCTGTATTTACTGATAAGTATATCCTGTATCTATATACCTATAAGTATATCAATACATCCTGTATTTGAATCCATCATGCGCATTTTTTTCCCAAACTGGCCATTACCACCTTTGTCTAATTTTCCCTCAGAAGAAACCCTGCTGAAGGTACTGCTTTTTGTCCTTACAATTCAGAGTACAGTTAAGTTTCAGGAGGAGAGGGCAATAATGGATTATTATACCATTAAATATTATTGCAATGATGAATTATTACAATTATTATTACTGTCCTGTTATCCGGGGTGTCACCGAGTGCTGGTACAATCTGTGTACAATATGTGTACAATTTAATAATACAATTAAATTAATGTAGTTAAGTACTTAATTTAATAATCATGCGGAATAACCAGAATAACTGCCACGGTTATTATATTCTACACAAACCTCGCACCTCTCATTAATCTCATCGAGGATATCCTTGCCAGACATCTTGTTGGGATACGCAGCATGGCCGCACGAGAGAGAAGACGAGAATGATGAGCTGTCTATGTGCATCTGCTGCATGCGTGAAGCCATTCGCTCCTCGTTGACTAGTACCTTTCTTGGTGGACCATCAGAATTTCTAAAAAACAACAACAAGTGACTGTGTACAAAGCAAGCTGGGCATCAATGTTGACACAGATACAATATAAAGACCATATCATATTCTTATGGGTATGTGATGCTGGGAAAGGTCCATGTGAGCATACTATCTTGTAATGTGTAGTTTGTCTTCTCATCAAGTTCTGTATATATGTCACATATGCAATGAAATTTGAATTTTACAACCAACAAGGAGTAATTTCATTTATATTTATTTATAAATGTATTATTACATAACAGCTAGCATGTGCACTTATTTACACTTAACGCAGTAATGAAATGTAAACTCACGTCGACATAAATGAATAGCTATATACAGGGGTAGAAATTAACTTTTGAACACGGGAGTCCAACGGACTCCCTACCCTCAAAAATAGGGAGTCCGTAGCAAAATGAGGGAGTCCGGAGTCTGAGGTTCAAAATTAAAGATATTAACAATAACGCATGTGCTTATTTTTACGATTCATGCGGTTGCACGTCTGTCAAATTTTCTTTGGATATTAGCTGAAAAAATACGGTATTTCCACGAAGCCTTGCTCTGGAACGAACTAGGTAGTATAGCAGAATTTTCAGGGAGTCACACGGACTCCTGCATATGTCAAATCAGGGAGTCCGACCGTAAATCAGGAAGTATTTGACTCCGGACTCCTGTTAATTTCGCACCCTGTATATATATTCTCAGCTATCCGCACTGATACTTTTATGATAAACATACCCAACAAAGAAGTTGTCATCATTTTTTTTCCGTTTCTGTTTTCTTGGAGAATAGCTGCATGATGGAATGTCCTTCCACCTAAAAAAAAAAAATATTAAAACTACATTTATTAATGTCTATAATATCGCTGATATAAGGCAATGGCTTTATATAAATGATGTTCTTCAAATTTGTGTGACAAATGCAAATGTGCATGACTACAGTTTAAGGAAGTACAAGTGTCGCAGCAAATCGGATATTTTTTATTTTACTTAATGCGCTTAAATGGGTGATATCACATCGATTTGCTGACCAGTATCTATTCCAACCATCTATTCAGTACGGTCCGGTATACCGGAACGTAGCCTGGTAACTATTTGATATGGTTAGGGTTAGGGTATAGGGTTAGGGTTAGGGAGTAGGTGTAGGCAACTCCCTAGACTCGTTAGTGGAGTAGGCGAGGTACGGTCCGGCATATTAGATAGTACCACTACCAGGGTACGTTCTGGCAGTACCCTGGGGGACATAGACCCTCTCAGCTTTAATTGGCCCATCCGCATAAAACGTCCATACAAACACGACCTGCACTCTACCTATACTAATGCTGGCGTCTGCCTGTCAACTAAGACGCTAGACACCTGCAGCGTTTCCTCAGCAAATACAAGCGTACCAGTCTTTATTGTAGACGAACCGGCCACTGCTTCCCACATGATACCCGCCGTGCATGTAGGGCGGTGAAGCGCACCGCGACGACACTGGTGCGTCCTGGCTCAGTTGATGATCAATCTCAATGGAGCTTGCAGCGGGACGACTTGCGTGCGTCGCCATGAACGGTGGCGTCACCTCGTGGCTGCCACTTGATGCAGTTACCATGCTCTCGTGTTGATGCCACGCTGTCGTGTACACGCCCTCAGGATTCGTCGACAGCGACGATGTACTGTCCGTGTAGGAGGGTGCTAGTAAGCTTGACCACGGGCCACTCATTGTCGGCACTCGTTGCACGAGATCTGCGCGTGGTTCAGAGATGACTGTGCTTAGATGAACAGGGCCGGGCACAACTGTTGGTGGTGGTGGCTCGCCTTCACTACGAAACTGTTCTTGCCGAGTAGGAAGCGGGCAGCACTGAATCAGTGATGCAGTAGTCAGGTGTCTGCTTGCGTTATGATTAATCGGCTGAGTCGACACTACGCCTGGAATGCCGAACACATTGTCGAGTTTGGAGCGGCACAACACTGGTTGGCTTTCCCGCCCAAACTGCTGACACGGAACAGAGGGCGTGCAGCCCTCTACAGCTGGGAATGGCACTGCTTCAGCGTTTACGTGCGTCCATGGCATAAACGCCGGCACTGTTTGCTGCCATTCAGCAGAAACCTGAAATAAAATAGTTGCTTTAAACACCTGTCAACCCACATACACCAATAGCAATAAATGCCTTGCATACTTCTAATGAGTCACTCGAGTCATCACTCATCAGCTACAGATATATGATAGAATCAGGTCAATCCTGCTGGACAACCAGTACATATCTGATGGGGTTAAGATACAATTAGGGTTAATTCTTATACTGATGTGATGGTTAAGGGTTCGCCCCAAGAATTTCAGAAAGAATGCTATTTATGGATGGATGGGGGAAACGACAGGAAGGGGTTGTACTTATTTATATTTTTTACATTTAATAACCTGTCATATTTGTGGGAATTATATTTTCACCTAATAAACAGGAAAATATAGAAAATAAATGGGAACATAAATATTTAAAAACAGTTGGAAATTCTGGTAAATCAATCAGTTAAAGCAGTATTTCCCCTGTAGCGACACGGGCGAGGCAGGCCGTCTTGCTCAAATTCCCAGCCACCACACAGAAATTTGTCTAAAACACTGCCTCGCTGATGAAAATCACTTAAAAAGAAAATCACTGTTGGAAAGTCTCTGGTCTTTTCAGAATAGCTTAGAATGCACCAAATTGCACCATTTTTTCAAAACAATTTACCTCCTCACAGACCTTTTTGGTAAGGGGAAACACTGAAGGCATATCACAGAATTCATGGCATGTTGCAAAATAGCTCTTATGGACCTGGATGTTGGACCCGATGTGCATTAAAGCCGCACTATGCGCATCCAAACGCTAATTTCTCCAGTACTAGACTAGCAAATACTTTTTGTCATGCATAATCACACTACCTTATGACAAAATAAACTCTAGTTCCTCCCATTTCACTGCGCGTTGTCTTATAAAAGGCATTTGAAAATACCTCCAATGTTGTTCAAATTCTCCGATGTTGTTGACACTTTTGCGTTGCTCTGCCAAGCAACCGTGCAGCGGTGCTGCGGTACAGCGGTACGGGTGTAGCAAAGATAAACACATGTGACGTGACCTAACCGATTCTTGACGAAATCGTTTGGCAAACAATTTAGCGTTGGCGCCAGATTAACAGATTTCGCACCTCTTTCTTGTGGGTTTTAAGCAAACGCGCACTGAAGTGGGAGGAACTAGAGTTTATTTTGCCATAAGGTAGTGTGATTATGCATGACACAAAGTATTTGCTAGTCTAGTACTGGAGAAATTAGCGTTTAGATGCGCATAGTGCGGCTTTAAAGGCCTGGGGATAACCCTGATAATGATGATGATTACCTGTAAATATTCACACTGCCTGTTTCGAAGGAGGCACATATCATTACTAATTGAACAGTTCAATTAAATCACTGGTGTTTACATTGTAGTTTGCAATTTACAAATATACATACCTGGGAACGAGAGGACTGTGGTTGTGGCAACCAAGACATTGGATTGCTTTCCTGTAGTTCTTGCGTGCAGTGAATTGGCATTTCACCTACTGCTGCAGCTAAACCTGGCAATAGTTGTACTACATGTACGTGGGCAGTGCAATAGCAGAAGTAATGGTTATTGTTTATAGAACAAATTCAAGTTTATGATTGTTTACTGCCAGGAACAATAATAATCCCTGTAATTGATCCCCTCTTGCTTGGCTCGGCGGTTCCGCAGTACTGAAAATCAGCACTATTAGTATAGTATACAACAGTGTCAGTAGTACAGGCGTAGCACCACAGGCACTTGGAGCGTTTCAATCAAATATAATTCTAAATAAATAGGAAATCTATTTACTACCAGTCTTAATGTTTCTATACTCTCTTTCACCTATGTATAATGTGTCAGTGTGCAGCGGCAGCAGCAATGGCGGCGGCGGCGTGTTTACAGATAGCATTTGGACGGCATTTACAGGAAATTGTCGCCAATAATAGGTGAAAGAGAGTATAGAAACATTAAGACTTCAAAATGGTGGTAAATAGATTTCCTATTTATTTAGCATTATATTTTATTGAAACGCTCCAAGTGCCTGTGCGTAGCACCGCCACCAGTAGGCAGTACTACTAGTAGTAGTAATGGTAACTAGTACTGTACTACAAGCCGGTGCAAATCCACTTTAGGCACCTTAGGTATGACGAAGTGATGTACAGATTTCTGTGTATCATCAACTGATGCACAGACTTTCCGTATATGAAGGAATGATGCAAAAACCCTAACCCTACCCCTAACCCTAAGTCCCTAAGTCCCTAAAAGTCCCTAAAAGTCCCTAAGTCCCTAACACACTTCGTGATACCTAAACCCAAGGTTACACTTTATTACTTAGGGTTAGGGTTAGGGTTTTTGCATCATTCCTTGATATACGGAAAGTCTGTGCATCAGTTGATGATACACAGAAATATGTGCATCACTTCGTGATACCTAAGCATAAGCCTAAGGTGCCTAAAGTGGATTTGCGCCGTAATTATGCTTTTTGTGTATATATCCTTGGTAGTTATCCAATTTTATGAATTCAGAATTTTATTGTAAAGTATGTTATGTATTGTATATGATGGATAATTGCCTAAATAAATAAAAAAAATAAAAAAATAAAAAATGACAATGCGGCGTGAATGCCACTGCCACTGGCGTGGCCGTGGGTAAGTCGGAGTCCACCTTTCAGTTTCATTTTGACGAAAGTGAGTTCTAGCTCACTAGTTTTAAATGATATAGACAGACGACTATAGTGATTAACACGTATTAAACAGAAACGTAAGCAAAATAATCTGCCTAGAACACGATCCTTACTAAATAAAGACGACCGAAATCCTAAACATCTCAGTGAAACAATTTTCCATTTCGCTTTCAATAACTAAGGTATGAGCATCCATACATAAGTAATCGAAAATAGTAAAAATAGGTAAAATTAAAACTTTGTCTACTGCAATCCACAGTGTTTATTTCTACAATTAGCAGGTGTTCATTTGATTTTTTTTTCCGTTTTCGATATAGTCTCATCGACTTTGAAGATTAGCGTGGACAAATAGTTACGAAGGGGATCTCTATTTTGGTTTATCGGCTTGGCATCACTGGTGCGAAAGGCGCGACGCATCGACGCATCGACGGCGGCCGATTGAACGAACAGCATAGATGATAAGATGAACCCGATTGATGAGACGTGAGATTAGAGTAGAGCGTGTTAACTTTACAGTGTGTTTGGTGCCATTGGTGTATCACTGTATGCACTAAACTAATATAGAGGTCAGTGCCAATAGTAATATAGTTGCGATGGAGGTTCGCGTGGACTTTGGTAGGCCCTATACAGCACAGGTCAGGTTCGGTCTTGTTGCACCCAGAAAAATGCATTCAAAAGAGCGTATAATTAGATCCACACCACACCACGGCACGATCGACGCACAACGCTCATGAGTCTGATGAGGTACATAGTGATGAGAAGTATATAATTGTTGCAGCGTCAACCCAACAAGAGTAGAGGCAACAACCCCTATACTCTTGTTGGGTTACATAATGTAGGTTGCTGTAACTGCGAGAGTACGGAACCTAGTAGTAGTAGTAGTAGTAGTAGTAGTAGTAGTAGTAGTGGAGTACTTAATTTCTACTATAGACTACGTACGCGGGGGGGTGTTGTCTAGGATATTAGATGCTTGTCTTTCGCGTCTTGATCTTGATCTGTGAGTGTAGGTAGTCGAGCCAGAGGCTCATTAGGGCGAATTACGGGGCGTGTGGGAGAGAGGCGGCGCAGAAGACGTTTGCTGGCGAGTCTTTGACACGAGATTGGAAGTGTCAGGATCTTCAGCAGGCATGAGTGCTTCTCAGAGGTCTGGTTCACTCATAACTGTCCTCACGAAAGAATGAGTTCTTATAGCTGTTCAGTACGCCTTGAACGGAACTTTGAACATTGTTGAGTGATGTATAGAAGCTGATACGTGTGGTCTAGTGGACTAAGTTTATGGTCTGCCTACTCAGGCCGGTAGATGACCAGTTTTTGATTTTTGCGTGTCACCTCGTACCATTACTGGGTCGGCTTTAGATACAATAATGTTACCCAACAAGAGCATATATAATATCTTCGTCCCTGAGACTAGGTCTCCTGGTAGGAGCTTGACTGTTGCCCTCCCCCCCGCACTCATCTGGGTATGGCTGCACTGCACCCGCGTTCCCAATTTCTCCGGAAAAGGGGTACTGTTTGTCCAGCTATCTCTGGCCCAAGAATCCTTTAAAAAAGGGTACAATTAGCAGGTTTATCTGGAGAAACACAGAAAAGGGGTATTTTTTTTAAAGTCTGGCCCAAAGATATTTTTAAGAAGGGTTGTTTAAAACCAGCCCGTAAGGAATTGATAATCACAGACTTTTATTTTCCTGCCGATGTGTTCACTACAGAGGTGCAAAACTGAGGCTCAAAATAAAGAAAGGTACCTAAAAATCTTCAGAAGAGTGTCTTATTTTGTGAATTACTCCAAAGAACTAGCCTACTGTAAACGAATGCATTTTAATAAATCCTGAGATAAGGGGGTGTATTCTTGAAGAGTCCAGAGATAGGGGGTGTATTTCTATCGAGTCCTGAGATGGGGTTTGAAAAAGTGACAAGAAGCCAGTGAAAAGGGGGTAAAAAATATGGTCCTTTTTGAGATAGGGGGGGTTTTTTAGAATCAGGGAACAAGCGTAGGCATCCACCTAATATGCTGAGTGGGGGGTAGCCTCTTGAGGCCACAGGTGACTCTTGCCTCTTGTGACAAACTTGTGGTCTTGTGACAGGTGCCTCTTGAGAGGGTGATCTGTTTCCATCTGTATTGGACAGGCGACAGGACCATAGCAACAATTGATGGCCTCTCTTGTACCTTGTACCCTACTTTACACCTAACGTGTATATATATATATATATATACATGAACATATATCTATACTCTGAGTATAACATATACTACTGCTGCACTGCATGAGTATAGCTATGTTTATGTTATAATTTAACCCTAAACAGGCCCGTCCCAAGCTTTTCAAAAAAGGGGGTGGCATGCCAGGAGTACGCAAAATTTTCTGTGAACTAACGAGCGCGAAGCGCACATCACGAGCGCGAAGTCCCTCATGGCCAGGGTCCAGTGCCCGCTCAAGGGTCCTGGAAGCTCAGGGGTTTTAGATGCTCTCTGGTGCAATCTGAGCCTTATTTTGGAGCATTTTTGCACACAATTTATGACCAATTATTGAAAAATGATTGCAATCTGATTGGCTAATCGGAAGTTTTATATGCACGATACAAAAGCTTTATGCATAAACACACGAAAATATTGGCCCTACACTAACATTTGCGCAACGAATTGACTTGCCGGCTAAATAACTAATTCTCGGGTGCCGGGGTAAACTCTGGAAAAAAGGGGTGTGACCGCACTCATCGCCCCCCCCCCCCCCCCATCTGATGGCCATGCTAAAGTTTTGTACT